ACCCACTACCAATTTGATGTATGTGCGCCACCCCTTTAAGGATCGGCCAAATAACCATTTATTTCACGTTGACCTGATCCAGGAAAATACTTTTGCTTTTTTTAGATTTTAGCCAAATTTGTTAAATTTTCAGTATTTGAAAAAAGAAATTTCGCAATTTTCTGCTCCAATCAGAGGGACAAATCGCACATAACAAGATTATACTGCGCAACTGCACAATAGCTTTTCAAATGGAAGAGGGGATCGAAATGTGAGTGAAATTTGGCAACACCGCTGGGAAAATTTCTCTTTTGTAAATTTACACAATACACTCTTGTGAAAATGGAATTAAACTAAGCGATTAAAAGTTCAGTTTCAAATTCTGTCAATCTGAAATCTTACCACCTCGCCACTTCCACTCTTTTCCTCCTTTTTCTGAAATAAAGCTTGTTTTTGTTTCCGCCACAAATTTTGGGAAGAAAACGTGATGCGTTACTTCCTTGTCCTAAGCCTAAAATTCTGTCTTTCTCACCTCCCACTCCGTCACTGTTTTTTGATCCCTCAATAAACTGTTTCAAAAATTTCCTTATCCTAAGTCGGATACAGCTATACCAGGTCCTTCCATCCCGTGCTGCGTACTTCAGTTATAACCACTGCCTATTCGATGTGTGTGTGTGTCATCTTTTTGTAGGCCAATCAAGCATTAATTACTTCCTAACCAAGTATTTACGAAATATTTATTATTTCTTTATTAATTATTAATAATACGCGTCTTTCAATCGTATTTTCAAATTTTGCACAAAAGAGGTAAATTTGAGCGAGTCAATTACTGAAAGGATTCTGACAAAGAAAAACCATTCTGTTATCATCGACTTTTCAATTCAGTTTTGGAATATCAAAGCCGTCTGGCTTGACACTCCGAGTACCCGTGTTAGCGATGTTACTGAGATGCTCCTACACACAGGAATAGCTGAAATGAAAAGAGCAGAGAAAAGCATACCAGGTGAATTTTTGATGCGGCAAAGAAGTGTTCCCTGGCACAGTTCAAGAACCATACAGATATTGATTGTATCTTCGAAATAATTGTAAAATTTCAGAATATTTGGATGGTTCAGTGACTGATGTATTATAATCTCTTTTCGTATCTTCTCCCATTGCGCTTCACGGGTCAAACGACTTTTTCGGATAATTTTCAGTGCCACTTTCAAAGAAGATGGTTTCTCGCACGCAGCAAAGCAGGAAGCAAATCCTCCCTGAAATTATAAAATAAAATATTTCCTCTTTTTACACTGCAGTAAATTGCAAAATTTTTCAGAAGCGCCACAACGACCAGAGTATGATATTCTCATACTTATCAAAAACTTTCACTTTTTATAAAAACGGCTTTCAAAAATTCGGAGTAATTTTTACCTGCTGCACAGTATGATTTGAAAAGGAAATTCCACCACATCCAAACTTACTGCATCCGTTCCCAGTAGTAGTGAAAAAACTCAAAAGCTCGAATTTTGTTTGAGAAAAAAACAAAAATGTTAATTTCTTTTCAAAAATGTTGATTTATTTTCAATTTCTTTTCACTTTAATTTCTTTTCAATATTTACTGCCAGAATTTGCCAAAAATACTGAAATCGTCCAGGCAATCAAATAGGAATTTCCCCACAACACATAAATGGTTTAATTGTCACAATAAATTACCTTGCCCAGAAATGCTGTTGATGCATAATGGCACCGTTTACGTGAATCGTATAGCAAATCGGGCAAATTTTCCGAAGAATCGTCGCCATTTGAAGAGCACGGTTCCAACTGTTCGAAATTTGATGGCATAAACTGCAAAAAAAAGAAAACAAAAAACTCCGTAAAATTGACTCAGCGAAGCTTTCACACCAATGAGTTGGGATAAGCAGACTGTAGCAACCAAGTTGATCCTCGAAGCCTAAATAGCGAAGGCGTGATAAATTACAATATAAGGAGAGAAGAGTGAGATAAGAAGTTTCGGTCCATTAAGTCATATACGCCTTAACTCAACACCGCGACAGGACTTCGTCAGTATAACTTAAAAAACATCGATACTAAGCAAATATTACCAAGCTTTCTGGCCATCTCGCTACAGCATTACGTACTTCAGCATCTGTAGACCGGTACATTTAAATACTGTATAGATAACTCCTAACATATCAAACTTTAAAAGTAATGCCAATAGTTAAAAGCTCCTCGTAAAAAAGATTCCGGTGAGAAGCAGTGGCACAACTCGAAAGCGACTCGACTGGTATCAATTGCCAACAATAATTACCTGCTGACAAGATTATCGATGGTTCCATTTTTCGAACGTTTCCCAGGGGTAAAATGATGACAGTTTTTAGACTCACTGCGCAAAAATCACTATCAGTTTACCACTATCAGTTATTAATATTACTTGTACGTTACAATCACGCTACAATCAGCTTATCGCCGAACCAGTGAACTAATCGTAGAGGGAA